GCATGTCAGAGCAAAAACCAAGCCATGAGGTCGAAGGAATTGTCCATAGAGCTCCGAGACAGGATTGTGTCGAGGCACAGATCTGGGGAAGGGTATAAAAACATTTCTGCAGCATTGAAGGTCCCCAAGAACACAGTGGCTTCCATCATTCTTAAATGGCAGATGTTTGGAACCACCAAGACTCTTCCTAGAGCTGGCCATCTGTCCAAACTGAGCAATTGGGGGAAAAGGTATTGGTCAAGGAGGTAACCAAGAACCCAATGGTCACTCTGACAGAACTCTACATTTCCTCTGTGGAGATGGGAGAACCTTCCAGAAGGACAACCATCTCTGCAGCATTCCACAAATCAGGCCTTTATGGTAGAGTGGCCAGACGGAAGCCACTCACTCCTCAGGCACATGACAGACCGCTTGGAGTTTGCCAAAAGGCACCTGAAGACTTTCAGACCATGAGAAACAAGATTCTCTGGTCTGATGAAACCAAGATTGAACTCTTTGGCCTGAATGCCAAGCGTCATGTCTGGAGGAAACCTGGCACCATCCCTACGGTGAAGCATGGTGGTGTCAGCATCATGCTGTTGGGATGTTTTTCAGCGGCAGGGACTGGGAGACTAGTCAGGATCGAGGCAAAGATGAATGGAGCAAAGTACAGAGAGATCCTTGATGAAAACCTTCTCCAGAGCGCTCAGGACCTCAGACTGGGGCGAAGGTTCACCTTCCAACAGGAAAACGACCTTAAGCACACAGCCAAAACAACAGAGGAGTGGCTTCGGGACAAGTTTCTGAATGTCCTTGAGTGGCCCAGCCAGAGCCCGGACTTGAACCCGATCGAACATCTCTGGAGAGACCTGAAAATAGCTGTTCAGTAATGCTCCCCATCCAACCTGACAGAGCTTGAGAAGATCTGCAGAGAAGAATGGGAGAAACTCCCCAAATACAGGTGTGCCAAGCTTGTAGCGTCATACCCGAGAAGACCCGAGGCTATAAAGGGTCTGAATACTTATGTAAAGTATTTTATTTTTATTACCAAAAATGTCTAAACCTGTTTTTGCTTCGTCATTATGGGGTATTGTGTTTAGATTGATGAGGGAAAATATATATTTAATCAACTTTAGAATAAGGCTGTAACGTAACAAAATGTTGAAAAAGTCAAGGGGTCTGAATACTTTCCGAAGGCACTGTAGGCTAATGCATTTGACCGCATGTATCACATTTTTGCTTACTGAAACTTCCAAAGTCATATCCAACCGTTATAATACATATAAGGCTGTGTGTCTGGTCAACTTGATGATCATTTCAACAGCGTTTTGATTTGGACAGCGCCGTCGTGCTGCTTTGAGCGCATCCTGTTTTAGCTGTCTTAAAGAAACCTGTCATCTCAATCATTAATTAATGTCATTACACAGCGTACGAGTCATTCATGGCTTTAAATACAATCAAGGACGCCTTGAATAATTAAACAATAAATATAGGAATGTGACTGTTTTTAATCTAACACCTGTTTGGCACACAAATTGGCAAGCAGCGCTAGCTCCTGCACTTCTTGGTATTCTTCTTGATCTTCGTGTTCTTCTTCTTAATGTCATTATTATTAATATCATTATAAAAACTAAGCCTTGTATTATCATTATTAGGCCTAGTAGGTTAGTAGCCTTGTATAATTGAGAGCTGTGAGAGCGCGTCCTGTTTTAGCTGTCTTACGTAATTTGGGCTTTTCCAATATATCTCAATGAATCAATCAATCATTCATGTCATCACACCACATACTGTTGCTTCTCTCTGTGCCTGCTCGCCGCTGCTGAGAGAGATTGGGAGAGAGAAATTTAGAGAGAGCTGTAGCCTACTAGAAGCCAAGGTGCGCTAGTAGTCACACAGACACACAGTCTTTTTTTAACACAGCGCGGCAAGTCCAAACCCGGTCTGGCCCGAATCAATTCTCAGGACTTAAGGCCCGGCCCAACCCTAGCCCGTCGGGCCCCATCGGATTCAGGCTGAGAATGTAACTCTAGCCTGGCCTCAAAGACGTAACTACTGCAATAATCAGTAAGGCAGATTTTCCCATCTGTAAGTGCCTGTCAGTAAATCTGTGACACTCAAATTAGTATTTTTTAAATTTTATTTCACCTTTATTTAACCAGGTAAGCCAGTTGAGAACAAGTTCTCATTTACAACTGCGAACTGGTCAAGATAAAGCAAAGCAGTGCGATTAAAAACAATAACAGAGTTACATATGGGGTAAACAAAACATAAAGTCAGATCTACAACAGAAAATATACATTGCTCAAAAAAATAAAGGGAACACTTAAACGGTCAGAAACAGACTCCATGTGGGTGGTATGAGGGCCCGACGTCCACAGGTGGGGGTTGGGCTTACAGCCCAACACCGTGCAGGACGTTTGGCATTTGCCAGAGAACACCAAGATTGGCAAATTCGCCACTGGTGCCCTGTGCTCTTCACAGATGAAAGCAGGTTCACACTGAGCACATGTGACAGACGTGACAGAGTCTGGAGACGCCGTGGAGAACGTTCTGCTGCCTGCAACATCCTCCATTATGACCGGTTTGGCGGTGGGTCAGTCATGGTGTGGGGTGGCATTTCTTTGGGGGGCCTCACAGCCCTCCATGTGCTCGCCAGAGGTAGCCTGACTGCCATTAGGTACCGAGAGGAGATCCTCAGACCCCTTGTGAGACCATATGCTGGTGCGGTTGGCCCTGGGTTCCTCCTAATGCAAGACAATGCTAGACCTCATGTGGCTGGAGTGTGTCAGCAGTTCCTGCAAGAGGAAGGCATTGATGCTATGGACTGGCCCACCCGTTCCCCAGACCTGAATCCAATTGAGCACATCTGGGACATCATGTCTCGCTCCATCCACCAACGCCACGTTGCACCACAGACTGTCCAGGAGTTGGCGGATGCTTTAGTCCAGGTCTGGGAGGAGATCCCTGAGGAGACCATCCGCCACCTCATCAGGAGCATGCCCAGGCATTGTAGGGAGGTCATACAGGCACGTGGAGGCCACACACACTACTGAGCCTCATTTTGACGTGTTTTAAGGACATTACATCAAAGTTGGATCAGCCTGTAGTGTGGTTTTCCACTTTAATTTTGAGGGTGACTCCATATCCAGACCTCCATGGGTTGATACATTTGATTTCCATTGATAATTTTTGTGTGATTTTGTTGTCCGCACATTCAACTATGTAAAGAAAAAAGTATTTAATAAGATTATTTCATTCATTCAGATCTAGGATGTGTTATTTTAGTGTTCCCTTTATTTTTCTGAGCAGTGTATATACAGTGTGTGCGAATGTAGTACATTATGGAGGTAAGGCAATAAATAGGCCATAGTGCAAAATAGTTACAATTTCGTATTAACACTGGAATGATAGATGTGCAAAAGATGATGTGCAAATAGAGATACTGGGGTGCAAATTAGCTAAATAAATAACAGTATGGGGATAAGGTAGTTGTATGGGCTAATTACAGATGGGCTGTGTACATGTATGATATGTAACTATTGGTATGGTTACATTAGACAGAAGCTTACTTAAGCAAAAACGAAAGGAATGAGGTTAGTCGGGGAGGATGGATGGGCGTATAACGTGAATGTCTAGCAACCCAAAGGATGTGTGTTCTAATCACATCACAAACAACTTTAGCATTTTAGCTTTGCAACAACTAACTACTTTTTTAGCTACTTTCCAACTTCTTAGCATGTTAGCTAACCCTAACCCCTAAAACTAACCCGTAGCCTAGCTAACGTTAGCCACCTAGCTAACGTTAGCCACAACAAATTGTAATTCGTAACATATCATACGAATTGTAATTCGTAACATATCATACTAAATGAAGGTATTACCGATTTATGTTTACTATGTTAAATCTACCCCTGAGTCCATGTTGAGCTGCCAGGGCAGGCTAGTCCATCTTATCAACTGACAGGACAAGAGAGGTCGGACACATGACTCATTTAATCTGTACAGCAGCTGCCAACTATCCCACAAAGTATACTGAACAAAAATATAAACGCAACATACAATAATTTCAAAGATTTGACTGAGTTCCAGTTCATTTAAGGAAATCAGTTAATTGAAATAAATAAATTAGGCCCTAATCTATGGATTTCACATGACTGGGCAAGGGCTCAGCCATGGGTGGGCCTGGGAGGGCATAGGCCCACCCACTTGGGAGCCAGGCCCACTCACTGGTGAGCCAGACCCAGCCAATCAGAATGAGTTTTTCCCCACAAAAGGGCTTTATTACAGACATAAATACTCCTCAGCACCCCCTCAGATGATTCTGCAGGTGAAGAAGCTGGATGTGGAGGGCTTTGGCTGGCGTGGTTACATGTGGTTGTGAGGCTGGTTGGACGTACTGCCAAATTCTCTAAAATGACATGGCTTATGGTAGAGAAAAATGAACATTCAATTCTCTGGCAACTGCTCTGGTGGACATTCCTGCAGTCAGCATGCCAATTGCACGCTCCCTCAAAACCTGAGACATCTGTGTTATTGTGTTGTGTGACAAAACTGCACATTTTAGAAGGGCCTTTTATTGTCCCCAGCACAAGGTGCACCTGTGTAATGATCATGCTGCTTAATCAGCTTCTTGATATGCCACTCCTGTCAGGTGGATGGATTATCTTGGCAAAGGAGGAATGCTCACTAACAGGGATGTTAACAAATTTGTGCACAAAATTTGAGAGAAATAAGCTTTTTGTGTGTATGGAACATTTCTGGGATATTTTATTTAAGCTCATGAAACATGGGACCAGCACTTTACATGTTGCGTTTATATTTTAGGGCCCTCTGGCCACTTGACATCCAAAAGCTGAAAGGCTTTTCTAACCCTATCAAAGTTAATTTGAAAGGAGTGAGAAGACAAAATCAAAACACCATGAGTAACAGTTGACCCATAAATTATGTCTGTATGCAGCCTCTCACAAACTAAACTTGAGAATTTAAATGATATCTTTTGTGACTGACACAAATTGTAAGGCATGATAGCCCACATGCTGGTATATATGGTACTATGCATGAAAGTCATTGATCTGAGAAAAATAAACAAAGGAGAGATAAGCAATTGAAGGCTGGACATGTTCAAGAGAGCAAATAAAGAGAAACTAACCAGGTTTCCATTCAACCATTTCATCCGGATGAATTACTGTACCTGACGCATGGGGCGGCAGGTAGCTTAGTGGTTAAGAGCGTTGTGCCAGTAACCGAAAGGTCACTAGTTCTAATCCCTGAGCCGACTAGGTGAAAAATCTGTCGATGTGCCCTTGAGCAAGGCACTTAACCCTAATTGCTCCTGTAAGTCGCTCTGGATAAGAGCGTCTGCTAAATGACAAAAAAATAAATAAATAAATAAATAAATAAAAAAAAGTAACGACCGGGTTGATGGAAACAGGAAATGTCGGCACAATTTCGTAAATGTCAACAGACGATTTGTTTGTTTGACATGGTGGGATCTTTTTGTATTGGTAAGATTTATTATGCGAGAAATGGTGGTAAAAAACACCTTTTTAATGCGCAAATATTTATATAATAACCATCATATTGAAGTGAACTTGGAGTCACGTGATGATATGTTGTGTGGTCCTCCCACTACGACTTGGAAAAGCATGCAGTTTATTAGGCTACAGATGAAATAAGTTATGAACTTGGTAAAAGTGCACAGTGATGAGTTTGATGCTCCCCCCTCCCCCTCCCCCGCCAGTTGCCTGTACAGCTGTTGTTTGGGTAGCCTTGAGTCGGTCATGCGGAGACAGTGTTCTGTCCATCGGAGTTGGTGGAGGATGATTTGGGATTCTATGCTTGGGATGTTGGCCTGGGTCAGGACGCTGGTCAGTCGATCCTCACACCTGATGTTCAGTATTTTCCTCAAGAACTGTTGCTGCCGACGCTCCAGTTTTTGAAGGTGCCTTCTGTATGTCACGTCTCACAGCCATAGAGAGGGTTGGGATTATGACAGCCTTGTACACTATGAGTTTCGTGTTGGTACTAAGGTCGTGGTTTTTGGACACCCGCTTTGTCAGTTTTCCAAAGGCTGTGCTGGCGCAGGATATCCTGTGCTGTATTTCTTCCTCAATGGTGACTCGTTGTGAGAGGTGACTTCCGAGGTAAGCAAAGTGTTCCACGTTGTCAAGTGGTTCACTTCCAACGTGAGTTACTATCAGATTTGGTGGTTGTCCTGGGGCAGGCTGGTGGAGCACCTTTTGTTTTCTGTATGTTCAGGCTCAGTGCCAGACTCTTGTATGCTTCGGAGACACTTTTGAGGGCAGTTTGGGGGTCTGCTTTGGAGTGTGCGATAATGGCACAGTTGTCTGCATATTGGAGGTCCTTGACTGTGGTAGTTCTCACTTTGGTTTAGGTGGTAATCACACAGTCTACACCCTCTTGAACATTTTCCAAATGTTGCTGTCTTAAAATGTAGTCTAAAAGGGGATTACATTTTTTTAAAAATCCTACGTCTGTTGTAGAAGAGAAAATGTTGCAGTTTTAAAGCAAATTTCCTGCTATTCTACACTTTTGCTGTTTTATAGCTCCCCACTGGGCACAGACTTTAATTCAACGTCTATTCCAAGTTGGTTCCACGTAATTCCATTGAAATGATGTGGAAACAACTTTGATTCAACCAGTGTGTGCCAGGTGGACCATATCATGCTTTTGTTCACATTTTGCCATGAGGCTGAGAGAAAATGTTGCAGTTTTACAGCTAATTTCCTGCAATTCTACAAATGTTGCTATCATATGCTATCTGGGGGGCCCCCGACCTGGGGGCCTCCATAATTCTTAAATGGAAGAAGTTTGGAACCACCAAGACTCTTCCAAGAGCTGGCCGCCCGGCCAAACTGAACAATCGGGGGAGAAGGGCCTTGGTCAGGGAGGTGACCAAGAACCCGATGGTCACTCTGACAGAGCTCCAGAGTTCCTCTGTTGAGATGGGACAACCTTCCAGAAGGACAACCATCTCTGCAGCACTCTACCAATCAGGCCTTTATGGTAGAATGGCCAGACGAAAGCCACTCCTCAGTAAAAGGCCCACTTGGGGTTTGCCAAAAGGCACCTAAAGAACTCTCAGACCATGAGAAACAAGATTCTCTGGTCTGATGAAACCAAGATTGAACTCTTTAGCCTGAATGCCAAGCGTCACGTCTGGAGGAAACCTGCAGCATCATGCTGTGGGGATGTTTTTCAGCGGTAGGGACTGGGAGACGGGAAAGATGAACGGCGCAAAGTGCAGAGAGATCCTTGATGAAAACCTGATCCAGAGCGCTCAGGACCTCAGACTGGGGCGAAGGTTCACCTTCCAACAGAACAATGACCCTAAGCACATAGCCAAGACAACACAGGAGTGGCTTCGGGACAAGTCTCTGAATGTCCTTGAGTGGCCCAGCCAGAGCCCGGACTCGAACATCTCTGGAGAGACCTGAAAATAGCTTTGCAGCAACGCTCCCCATCCAACCTGACAGAGCTTGAGAGGATCTGCAGAGAAGAATGGAAGTAACTCCCCAAATACAGGTGTGCCAAGCTTGTAGCGTTATACCCAAGAACGGTCGAGGCTGTAATCGCTGCCAAAGGTACTGAGTAAAGGGTCTGAATACTTATGTAAATGTGGGTATGATTGAGTGTGCAAAGCTGTCATCAAGGCAAAGGGTGCCTACTTTGAAGAATCTCAAATGTAAAATATATTTTGATTTGTTTAACACTTTTTTTAGTTACTACATGATTCCATATGTGTTATTTCATAGTTTTGATGTCTTCACTATTATTCTACAATGTAGAAAATAGTAAAAATAAAGAAAAACCTTTGAATGAGTAGGTGTGTCCAAACTTTTGACTGGTACTGTATGTATGTATGTATGTGTGTGTGTGTGTGTGTGTGTGTATGTATGTATGTATGTATGTATGTATGTATGTAACACCCTTTTTTCTGAGTCCACAGCACATTGCCCATAGCAACAATCTTCATGCAAGTCCTAATTGTAGTGTGCTGGAACAACACAGTGCTTGTGCCTGCTGACACACACACACAGTATATGTTGACTTGGCTATTCACTAATTGCTACCATACACCCTGTTTCACTTACCATTCAACATCTGTAGGCTGTAGCCTGTTATATAGAGACTTCAGTAAGATAATCTAATAGTGACTCAATCTCTCTCCCTCACAGAGCTGGATCCCCAAGATCATCAAAAAGAGAGTTTGCACCACGTTCATAGAGGACTCCTTTAGGTACAATACAGTTACCCAATGCAACATGTCCATGCAAAGCAAATGTTGTCAGTGTGTCTGTGTTGTCTGTTGACTGTTACGGCTGGTTGTGTGTATTCATGTGTATGTCTTTCTCTCGCTCTCCCTGTCAGCAATGGTGTGTTGTGTCAGTGTGGGGGTGTGCGGGAGACACACTGCTCCATCGCTACAGGAGACTATTTCGGGGCGGCCATCGTCACCCAGTGGGACAGCTCTCAGCACTCCTCAGAGTACCCCACCGACGCCTTCGGAGAGTTGGAGTTCGCAGGGGCCGGCAGGAGACACAGCCATGTGGGTAACGCACACTCACACATGTATGCGCATGCACATACCAACACATGCGCACACACACATCTCTGTCAGTATGATGGCTGGGTGATTAATGGCTTAGTGCCCGGTGTCATGTTAAAAAGCTCACAGTGTGAAATAGCTCACAATTGATTATTATTGTGAGCATTTTTACGGTTATGATTGGCTCTGATTGATTGTTAAGTCAAAGTGTGAAAAAGCTCACAGCTTGAGAATTCTCAGTGGTCAATTGCTCGGGCTTCTGCTTCAAATCTGTTTCCGGGTTTTCAGTGTTTCTTAGGTGGATAACGTCAGTGTCTTATTGAAATTGACACTAAACGTGAATAAATAAGTAATGATAACTTAAATATATTATCGATTGTTTTGCGCTTCTGTCGGGGCTGGCTAGCTAGCGTCAGGTAACTTTAGCAACTGGGTGGAATGGCGAGAGTTAGATGGTTAGGCGTTAACATAGCTAGCTAGCTACATGACCACAACTAGCCCTGACGTTCCTTATAGTCAAGAGCTTGTGACCACAACCCATTGTCTCTCAGAGCCAACAGTAGCCTACCATGGTTGCCTCTCTGCTGGAGCAATCCTTGAATGGCAACTAAATGGCAGCACTGCAAATAAATGCAATATTAATTGGTGGTAAAGCCAATTAATCAACTATCATCCACTGAGGTACATAGCGTGCTAGTGACTAGCGAAAGTATTCACCCGCCCCCTTGGCATTTTTCCTATTTTGTTGCCTTATAACCTGGAATTAAAATTGATTTCGTGGGGGTTTGTATCATTTGATTTACACAACATGCCTACCACTTTGAAGATGCAAAATATTTTTTCTTGTGAAACAAACAAGAAATAAGACAAAAAAACTGAACTTGAGCATGCATAACTATTCACTCCCCCAAAGTCAATACTTTGTAGAGACACCTTTTTGCAGCAATTACAGCTTCAAGTCTATTGGGGCATGTCTATAAGCTTGGCACATCTAGCCACTGGGATTTTTGCCCATTCTTCAAGGCAAAACTGCTCCAGCTCCTTCAAGTTGGATGGGTTCCGCTGGTGTACAGCAATCTTTAAGTCATACCACAGATTCTCAATTGGATTGAGGTCTGGGCTTTGACTAGGCCATTCCAAGTCATTTAAATGTTTCCCCTTAAACCACTCGAGTGTTGCTTTAGCAGTATGCTTAGGGTCATTGTCCTGCTGGAAGGTGAACCTCCATCCCAGTCTCAAATCTCTGGAAGACTGAAACAGGTTTCCCTCAAGAATTTCCCTGTATTTAGTGCCATCCATCATTCCTTCAATTCTGACCAGTTTCCCAGTCCCTGCAGATGAGAAACATCCCCACAGCATGATGCTGCCACCACCATGCTTCACTGTGGGGATGGTGTTCTCGGGGTGATGAGAGGTGTTGGGTTTGTGCCAGACATAGCATTTTCCTTGATGGCCAAAAAGCTCAATTTTAGTCTCATCTGACCAGAGTACCTTCTTCCATGTGTTTGGGGAGTCTCCCACATGCCTTTTGGCGAACACCAAACGTGTTTGCTTATTTTTTTCTTTAAGCAATGGCTTTTTCTGGCCACTCTTCCGTAAAGCCCAGCTCTGTGGAGTGTACGGCTTAAAGTGGTCCTATGGACAGATACTCCAATCTCCGCTGTGGAGCTTTGCAGCTCTTTCAGGGTTATCTTTGGTCTCTTTGTTGCCTCTCTGATTAATGCCCTCCTTGCCTGGTCCATGAGTTTTGGTGGGCGGCCCTCTCTTGGCAGGTTTGTTGTGGTGACATATTCTTTCCAATTTTTAATAATGGATTTAATGCTGCTGCTCCGTGGGATGTTCAAATGTTCTGATATTTTTTTATAACCCAACCTTGATCTGTACTTCTCCACAACTTTGTCACTGACCTGTTTGGAGAGCTCCTTGGTCTTCATGGTGCCGCTTGCTTGCTGGTGCCCCTTGCTTAGTGGTGTTGCAGACTCTGGGGCCTTTCAGAACAGTATATACACAATATATACTGAGATCATGTGACAGATCATGTGACATTTAGATTGCACACAGGTGGACTTAATTTAACTAATTATGTGACTTCTGAAGGTAATTGATTGCACCAGATCTTATTTAGGGACTTCATAGCAAAGGGGGTGAATACATATGCACGCACCTCTTTTCCGTAAGTAATTTTTTTCATTTCACTTCAACAATTTGGACTATTTTGTGTATGTCCATTACATGAAATCCAAATAAAAATCAATTTAAATTACATGTTGTAATGCAACAAAATAGGAAAAACGCCAAGGGGGATGAATACTTTTGCAAGGCACTGTATGTATCAACACTACTATGATTGCCATGGTAGTACCATTTCACCAAAATCATCCGTTAAATTGCTGTCATTTATGTTACGAATGACATCTACTGGCGTAATGTGGAACTGAAGACTCAACTTAGTTGTGTTTCTTCCAAGTTTGTCTGAATAATGCCAAGGAGAAAACAAGCCCTTCCTTGGTGTCCTTTGTTAGTCCATGGCCATTTACTTAATTAGTAAGTTAATGACAACAGAAATTAACAGTTAAATATTTGGGTGAACAGATCTTATTTCAGGTTATGAGGAAGAGACATTACAGGCTATCGAAAAGAAAACTATTCATCTTCCCCCCTGGCAGGTATCAGACCAAAAGCAAAAATGTGCATAAACAATTCCCATGTCTCATAGCAGTTATGGATGACACTAGAGAGAGTCAGAGAGATACATTCTCAGAAAATAATAACCTGATAAGGGGCTTGCCCTTCCCCAATGTCAGACAAAAACAATAATGACAAAGCCAAAAGACATGAATAATAATAATACAGTTCACAAGTTTTTCATTGACATCTGCTTTCCTTTTATGTCTTCAGACAAATGATTCAATCCCTCTGCTCATACTAAGACATTAATCAGACTTAAAGCCGTACAAGCCATGACTCCAACTTAGTTTTGCCTGATATATTCTTCACAAGCAATACAAACCGAATCAGTCCTTCAACCCAGATATTACTAATACAAGCAAGAGGTAGGTTAGAGACATATGGTGAAAAAAAGTATATACAACTGAAAAAGGGGGCAAAAGTTTGATGAAAGTAATGGCACAGTGAGGATGCAGCAAGAAGGAGATGCCCAGGGGAGGCAGAGGGGTTGGGTACAGGATTAGGCTACTTCTCAGAATGGACTGTGGGGTGAAGTCCGAGAAGAACACAGGACCTGACGCTGCCAGGGCTTGTGCTCGCTAGAGGAAACAACGATACAAATAGTGATTTGGATTCTATCACAATCACGTTTAAACACAACAAATAAAAGTAAATTGCAGGGATGAGATCAGGGTAACGTTGGAAATTATGGAAAAGAAGATTCCCTTTTGGGGAAAAGTCAATTTCAGCAACATAGTTATAGGAGGACGGGGTCATTGTAATGGCTGGAATGGAATAAATGGAACAGTATCAAACATATGGAAACCACGTTTGACTCTGTTTCATTAATTCCAATCCAGTCATTACAATGAGCCCATCCTCCTATAGCTCCTCCCACCAGCCTCCACTGGCCCCTGCCCATTATGGGCTACCACTTTATCTAAAGATACGACTGGAATGAAAAGGGCTATTATCATGAACTATTAAAGCCTATGTCAGTGGATGTCAGCTGTATTGAAAGTCCTTTACTTGTCTGCCACACCTGATTGAAAAGAGCGGGGCAAATGTCAGCTCGCCACACGTTTACCGGTGGCCCTGGCTTCTACACTATTTTGTTAGCTACAGTAGTGCTGCCTGGGCAACAACCCCTCTACAAAAATTATGAGGTGTCTCCAGGTTCGTTTATATTTACCATTGTGAAGCGCACCTATGTGTATCCAATACATATTGAGATGCACCCTATGTGCGCATCTACTCACAACCGCTCATGCTTTAAACACAGTCCAGTTTAAAGTAAATGGCACAGACCCAAATATGTCAATGGTCTATTTGCATATAGGCCTACTGCAGCTCTGATTGTTTATGCCGCACTGGTCTGTGTAGAGTATGGGCTGAGTAGTGCGTGTCAATGCAATAGAATCCTACTCTGATGCGTTCTGCCTACAACAAAATCTCTTGCATAGTTAGTTTTGTTTCAGTATGTTGCATTGAAAGTGGCTAATATTGCGTTGTTTCGATCACAATTGCCACAGTAAAGAGAAACGTTGATAGTGTTAACAGGGAAACTCTAGAACAGCGGTCACCAACCTTTTCTGAGTCAAGATCACTTTGAGTCAAAATGCAAGCGACGATCTACCACTCAGATCTTTTTTTTACATTACTTAAAAAATTAAAGCCTATGCAACATTAACCAATTAAAACAGTACTGTAGCAATGAGGTTTGTGCAGTAAGCTATAGGCCCAATACATTATCACCGCATATTGGCTTTGCTTGAATTGCCCTGCCAATGCATTGTTGTTCGGGCCATTTTTTTTAAATTACTTTTGAGGTAGGCTATATGATCACACCGGTAATAGATCCGATGTTGTATTACTTGTGAAGCACAGCTAAGTGAGCATACATTTAAATCATTTTCACAGAAACATTTTGCACAAACACAGTCCTTACAAAGTTATGTCCTGAGTGTAGTGTTTATGAACTGACACGCAAAACGACACCGGATTCAAAAATTAGAATCTTTCAATTTAAATTATTATATAAAATTCTTGCTACCAATAGAATGTTATTTATATGGGTGATACAATCTTCCCAGCTCTGCAGATTTTGCTGTGAAGAGACAGAATCATTAGATCATTTGTTTTGGTTCTGTCCATTTGTAGCTTGTTTTTGGACACAGGTCCAGGAATGGCTAAAGGATTGCAATATTTACCTGGAACTAACCTTGCAGATAGCATTACTGGGTGATCTGAAAAGTCATAGTCAATCAATC